GTGTGCAAGGAGCCCCCCAGGAGGGGGACAGACCCCCGTGCGAGGAGCTGCACCGGCTCCATCTTCTGGACTGAAACTTCTGCACGGGCCCCGTGGGTGTGCAAGGGTCCCCCGTGTGTGTGAGGCCCCCCCCCTGGGTGTGCAAGGGTCCCCCGTGTGTGTGAGACCCCCCTGGGTGTGCAAGGGGCCCCCGTGGTGCAGCCCCCCAGGACCCCCCCAATAAACCCCCCCTGCTCCTCTCCCGGGGCTGCGGCGCCTTTATTGAAACAAAGGGGGCTGGGGGCTTTGGGGGGACCCTTGGGGCTTTGGGGGACCCCTGGACTTTGAGGGACCCCGAACTTTGGGGGAACCCCAGGTCTGGGGGTCTGGAGGGGCTTTGGGGGCCCCTCGGGGTCTGTGAGAGGTCCTGGGGGGGATTTGGGGCACCCCTGGGTTTTGGGGGGATCCCCCTGGGTTTTGGGGTCCTGAGGGTTTTGGGGGAACCCCTGGTGCACGGCGGGGGGGTCCTGGGGTTTGAGGGGATCCTCCTGAGCTTGGGGGGACCCCGGGTGCATCGGGGGTTCCTGCGGGACCCTCTGAGGTTTGGGGGTGTCCTCGGGGATTTGAGGGACCCCCTGAGGTTTTGGGGGTGCTCTGGGGGATTTGGGGGACCCTTGGGGGGGTTGAAATTCCCCCCGGGGTTTGTGGAACCCCTGAACTCTGGGGGTCCCTGGGCCTTGATTTGGGGCTGAGAGCGTCCCCGGAGCTTTGGGGTTCCTGGAGGGGCCGGTGAGGGTTTGGGGTGCCCGTTTTGGGATGCCTGGAGTTTTTTGGGTTCCTGGAGGGGCTGGGGAGGGTTTTGGGGGTCCCCAGAGCTTTGTGGCGCCCCGCAGAGCCCAGTGATGTTTTGGGGTGCCCGTTTTTGGGGATTCCTGGATGGGGCTGGTGAGGTTTTGGGGTGCCCATTTTGGGGTCCCCAGAGCTGTGTGGCTCCGCGCAGAGCCCGGTGTTTTGGGGTGCCCATTTTGGGATGCCTGTTTTGGGGGTCCCTG